CACGTTTGTGTGTGTGTGTATGTGTGTGTGAGTGTGTGTGTGTGCGCGCACGCACGTTTGTGTGTGTGTGTGTGAGTGTGTGTGTGTGTGTGTGTGTGTGTGTGCGTGTGTGGGTGTGTGTGTGTGTGTGCGTGTGTGGGTGTGTGTGCATGTGCATAGGATAAGCATAGCTGCTTTGATAAAGTATTATCTTATCTTATCTTATCTTATCAGTGGAGCTACCCGTTCTTGATGGTGAAGCAGGACAAGTCCAACGCTTTCTCGTTCTTTGCCAAAACCGGTGACCAGAGAGACAAGTGGAAGGATTCTGTGGCCTTAGCTCTGTAAGTCACTCTCTGTCCTATGGGGTTTGTTTGTTGGGTTGGGTTGGGTTGTTTTTTTGTTTTTTTTTACAGATTATGGGAAAAAAACAAAAAGTACCAAGTTTACAGTGAGGAATTTGATGACCATTGAATCAGAAACTAAAACAGTACTTGTGAGTAAAGATAATCGAAAGCTGGTGAGGCTCTGGTGTGGTTTGCTCTTTCTTTCCAATCAAACATCTATTGTCCTTAACTCCCCTTCTTCTCTTTTATGTTTGTTACTCTCTTGTAACACCTCTAATCTTCTGGCGCTCATATGACCTTATGCAGTTGCGAGCGCCGTAAAACGTCTACTAAAACTAAAAAAACTTATCTCTTCTCATTTTTTTTTGGGTGTGAGTTACCCACTTGTAAAACGTTTAATCTTAGTCACTTATATGATTTAATTGTGTTGCAAGCGTTGTAAAACTCACTAAAAGAAATAAAAAGAGTAGAGATAAGTCTGTGAAATGAAAAAAAGCGAAATCCGCCAAGGGAAGTTGTGTTGTAAAATTAAGAATATGAGGTTGGTCTTGTGTGAAAACGCCACATTCCATCGTTGAACTACAGTAGATGGTTGATGACTTCCTCCACCCCTCAACTCCTCCAAGGCTACGCAGTCCCAAAATACAAAGTTTTGTCGTGGAAAGATTAAGATGCATATATATATATCTCTCACGTCAAAATTATCAAAATGAAGAAACTTGCATTTTTCTGCAGGTTTGTGAATTTTTATCAAAATTTTGTTTTTGGGCTCAACACCTTTTACGGCCATTAGAGAACTCATTTCTGTATTGATTTTTCTGAAAAACGTTGATTAAAGGCACAAAAAATGTACATTTTCAGTTACCACGGACTCTTAAGCTAAGGAAATAACTAATCTTTGGCGGGCATTTTCTCACTAATCTTATCTCTGAAAACAGGTGACCCTGACCTCCTTCATTTCGCAAATATCTGGACTTGTATTCAAGATAAATGGATATTTTTTTCACCCAAATAAAGACAAATGAACAAACTTTAAGATGATACAAATTACTCTTCGTGCCCAAAAATTGACGAGAGCCTGATTCCACCTCGCTACCTCACATATATATATATATATATATACACACACATATACATACAATCGTACATACCAGAAAACTGTTGATCTAAAACAATAAATAAATGCCTTCTTAAAGACATCTGTTCAACCCACGACAGCATAGCATCGAGTCAATAGACTGGTGCCCAGAGTCTGCACATCTGACAGCAGCTATATAAAGACTGCTATACAGTAATGTCTTTCCAAAGTAAAACCCTTTGCTCACTTCTTTCCTCCCACAGAGATAACAGCAATCCTGCGGCGGGCAGGAACTTCATTATGCACACATTTGACAAGCCGAGGGAGTGTGATGTCTGCGGCAAGCTACTCAGGTGAGCTGGTGTCTGGCTGGACTGTGTGATGGTGATTTCTGCTTTTTTAGGAAATGAAATGATACTAATTTCTGAAAAATCGATGAAGTTGCACCCAAAACCTCCCAGAGAGCTTTCTCTTGTTGCACTCTTTGTGGACAAATTGTTGGTTTACTCTGCAAAGATAATGCGTTTGATTAGAGTGCGGTAATGCTTGCTGCATTTGTTAAATGCTGTGGTGCGCCACTTTAATTTTTGTCTAGACTATTGCACCTGTGCAGTGTAACTGCAGTAAATTATGGTCTTGTGCTTTGTGCTGCATGTAATGAAGGATGCAGTGGGGTTAGTGTCTTTGTAGACTTCTCTTTATGTGTTTGATACATTACGTTGGTCTTTATCTTTTTATACTTCTCTTTATGAGTTCTGAAACATAAAGTTATTTTTGGTCTTTGTAAACTTCTCTTTATGTGTTCTGAAACAAATTTTGTTCTTTAATCTTTGTAAACTTCTCACCCCCCCTCCCCCCGACAGTGCTACTGACTGAAGCGTCTTTACGCCATTCCCAAAGAGGGGACATTAACATGTTCATATACTCAGTAGAATTGTAAATGGGCTGATTCATCAATGTCATGCTCATTAATGTGCCTGAACTGCAACAGGGAACTGCTTCTTTTTTTTCCTAATCCTTACTATCGTCATTTTCCCTTTACTTCTTTTGTATGTTTATCACACTCTTGTGACCCGCTTTTTCTGGGGTGCCTTGATAGTCGAAGCAGACTTTGTGCTGTTGAAGCTAGAGAGGTTAGCAGAGTAAGCCTGATTTCCTGTTAGGACTTCTCTTTTGACATCCACCCCTTGGCGCTCAAATGACCTTAAGCAGTTGCAAGCGCCGTAAAACCTCTACTAAAACAAAACAAACTTCTCTTTATGTGTTATGAAACATTAAGTTTATCTCTGATCTTTGTGAACTTCTCTTTATGTGTTCTGAAACAAAAAGTTTATCTCTGATCTTTGTGAACTTCTCTTTATGTGTTCTGAAACAAAAAGTTTATCTCTGATCTTTGTGAACTTCTCTTTATGTGTTCTGAAACAAAAAGTTTATCTCTGATCTTTGTGAACTTCTCTTTATGTGTTCTGAAACAAAAAGTTTATCTTTGGTCTTTGTGAACTTCTCTTTTCAGGGGTATGTTCTACCAGGGCTATTTATGTGCAGGTAAGGAACAGTGGCTGTAAGCCTGCTCTTTGGTAGTTATTTTTTACATGATATTGTGAGAAGAGACCCTGTACCTGAAGTGTAGATGTTTTACACCCCCATCAACACAATTTAGGTAAATTAGGAGGTGGGCTTCCGCCCTGCGTGTCATGGCTAACCCTTCTCGAGAGGGATACAGCGTCCCACCAGTCAATGAGGTGCTTGACTAAAAAAAAGCCTCCCAGCATGGGAATTGAACTTGCATCTACTGATTGTGATGGTGAACCGCCTAACTTGTACGCTATATTGCTGTCGGCTGACAAGACACCTTTTTTTTTTTTCATGTTTAGAGCCAATTTTTAAATTTGCTAAATCAATGCCTGATCAGTTACCTACTTGTGTGAAAAAATCAAAGTGAAACTGAGAATAGTTTTTTAATAAATTAGAATTCAAATTATGGAAGAATGCCTTTTCTCTAATATTTAGGCTTACAAAAATGCCTTTTTAGTCAAAATTACTGTAAATAAGAAAAAGGCGTTTTGCCAGCCATCGGCTATATAGAACCTAGAGCTAAATGACCCTTGTTGTGTAGATGTTCTTCTATTTACTCAAACAAACAAAATAGACATCTGTTGGGAAATTTCCTACATTGTCACATTTTTTAACCGGGGATTGATGGGGACTGTAGTGTGTTCTGCTTCTTCTATATTCTCTACTCCTTGTTGTTGCTGCTGCTCTTATCCTATGGCTGCTGTCATATCAATTTGCCATCAACAGCGTATCTGAGGCATCTTTTTGTGAATTTAAAAAAAAAGTATTATTGATGCTGTTATAGATTTTTGAAGAAAGCAGCTCTGCGAGAGACAAAGACATGTTTACTATTGTTTGAACAGTTTTTAATGTTTCTCTATAGTGATCCGTTGTTTCACTCTGAACCCCCCTCCTCAAAGAATCAGCTTTATGCTAATATGTTTTGTGTTTCTGTATTTTGTTTCTCAGATTCTCAGAAAGCAGTGCATAAAGAATGTATTGGGAAACCTTTTCAAACAAGTCGTAAGTACTTCTCATAGTTAACTCGTCAAGTTCTTTGTCAGTTTGTATGTCGTTTTTCTTCCTACTGAATCCCAAATGATGTTGTGTAGTATAGCAGGTAGTTGGAGGGCACCCCTGGTAAGATCTACCACTTTACTTTATTGAAGTTTCTACAGGATACTTATGCGTGTCTGCTTTACAACAACGGAGATAAAGATTTTACTCTAATCTAGACTGCTGCACCCTTGCAGAAAAGAAGTGTGTTATATGTCTTAATGTACAATAGAAACACCTCTTGTGCATGTACTGAATGTTGATGTCACCTTTTCTTCTAAAAAGTTCTTTCTGTGGATGGTTGGCGGGTGCTCTGGTGAGGTTTGCTTCTTCTTTCCTATCAAACATCTATCGTCCTCATCTCCCCTCCTTCTTTTTTATGTTTGTTACTCTCTTGTAACACCTTTGATCTTCTGGCGCTCATATGACCTTAATCAGTTGCGAGTGCTGTAAAACCTCTACTTAAACAAATAAAAGTTCTTGCTGCCCGTGAATTTCTGCCCCAACACCCACAGGCAAATGCAAATGCTAAAAAAATATCCTACTATCTGAAGGACAATTGAAACACTGGCTTCTACACTGTTTTTGGGGATTGTGAAGGGAACCAGTGGGTGGTTGGCGGGTGGTCTGGTGTGGTTTGCTCCTTCTTTCATATCAAACATCTGTCATCATTATCTCTCCTCTTTTTTTGTGTGTGTATGTTACTTTCTTGTAACACATCTATTCCTCGGCACTTATATGACCTTATTGTGTTGCAAGTGTCGTAAAATTTTAATAAAACTAAACGAAGGGTACTAACAGTTACCAGTGGGAAAAGTGTTGATGAATAATATTATGATACTGTTGTCACACAACAGCACACCACCCATTGTTTGTCCACTGTGGCAGACATCCTTTTTCCAACAAAAAAAAAGCTGTTTATATTTTATAATTCATGAATTCATCATTACTCTTGACAGCTGATGCTATTTTCAAATGTTCCTTCTTTCATGGGAAACATCAGTATCAGCCTCTATTTTACTGAAGCTCAAACACTTACATTTGCATGCTGGCAAGATCTTTCACTATCTTAGCTTAATATATGATTTCACCGCGTCGTGACACGTATGCACTTGTTTGTTTGTTTTTCTATTGCTGACATGTATCATTTGATTTTTCTTTTTTTTCTTTCTGTAGCTCCAAGAAGACCCCCCAGAACAGACAAGCCACAGCATGTTGGTAAGTACTTCCTGGTTTCACTGACAAGTTTTCTAGTGTTAAATTTTATAGACATACGGACATTGTTTTCTTGAATTTCTAAAGTCCCATAAAAATATCTCCATCTAAAATTGGAACAAGCCTGATTCCATTATTTCAAAGAATTAAGTGAAGTGGATGGTTAGCAGGTGCTCTGGTGTGATTAGCTCCTTCTTTCCTGTCAAACATGTATATCACTTATCTCTCCTTCTTTTCTTTATATGTTTCTCTGGAGTAGTAATACTTTTAACTTTGGGCACTTTTATGACCTTTTTGTGTTGCAAGTGCTGTAAAAACCCTAACTACCACATGCTCATATTTCCTTACGCAGTTGTGAACGTTGTAAAACTCCTACCAAATGAAACTAAACTGAAACCCTTACTAAAACTAAACTAAAGAACGAAGTCTCCTCCCAAACTTGAGTTGAGATATATTCAAGACGTCACAGATTTCTACCTTGTTCTTTCTCTCTCTCTGGTTGTCTTGACCTTTCCTTTGAATAAATAACTGTTATTTGTGGGCATGTTTCTCTTCACTCAAAACTGAAACTCGGGCAATTTATGTTTTCCTTTCCTCCTTCTCCTCCCCCCCCCCTCCTCCAGTTACCAAAGCACGGGCTGAGAAAGGTTACCGTGGCAACCCGAGTCCACCGAGCCGCCTCAAGCCTCCTCTCTACTTCGCCAAGGATGATGTGCTGGAGGTGTTGGTGAAAACCGATGAGAACTGGTGGAAGGTGTGTATTTGAGTCGTGTCGAAAGTTCTTGTGCTCGGAGATGGGGTTTTTGATTTTGTTTTTTATACTTTCTGGGGGGTTTTTTGTTTACCTTTTTCTAGTTCATTGCTTCTTTTTAAAAAAAAAAGATTTCTAGCTTTGTTATTTCTTTCTCTCTCTGTCTCTCTCTCTAATTTTTTTTTTTTGTGTTGGTGATTGGAGATCACCATTCAAACATTCTGCTTCGTTTCCTTTCGGTCTGTGTTTCTGTCTTTCTTGTTTTTCTATGCACCCAGTAGCAGTTGTTGTGTCAATTTTGCTTGTCATTACTGAAAAACAAAAAAAACCCATTTATTCTGTTGTCTTATTGTCTTCTATTAAAAAATTTGTTCCAGGGTCGGTTCAGAGGTGAAGAGGGACACTTCCCAGCAAGCTATGTCACAGAAAGAAAAGGGGTGAGTTTTGTTTGTCACGCTCACCTTGAAAACCCCTCAGATGATATCATTAGAGCTCTTATTTAATTTGGTGAACTACTGTTTATAAACTTTTTTGAGACAAGTCAAGGTATTTGTGAGGGATTCAATTGAAAAGGGTGCTTCTTGTAAATCCTTATTTAATCCTCATACTGTCCGCACACACACACACACACAAGTGATTCATTATTTATGAAAAATGAAACGAGCAAGAAAGATGTTCAAATTTTGCTGTACCCTGGCCCCTGGGTCTACTACTCAAATAGGTGGGATCTACGCTAGTACGAGTGGATACTATGTGCTGGGTTTCCTTTTTAGTCAGAAAAATCTATTGCATTTGTGTCTATTACGTATTTAAGTGATTTGAAATTTACTTTTGACTTTTCACTTGTAAAGCCATCCTTTGCTGCTTCGACCTCTGGGTCGTGACGATTTTCAAAGGATAAAAAGCAGTGTCTGTAGTGTAATGGATAGCGTAGCTTCCCACCAGCACGTAAAAAAACATTGAGTCTGCTTTTAAGAGTCTGAGTACTAAGGTACGTTTTTGTGAGGAAAAGTAAGTACGGTAGTCTCTGTTTTCTACTATTGCTTCTCGTTGACTTGTCAGTACGGAAGTAAAGTGATGAATTGTCAAAACAGGATTTGTGAATAATAATGAGAATGAAGTGCTTAAGTCAGGCGGCGAGACCAGACCTTAACTGAACATTTCTGACACTGTGGCTTTTCAGCTTGGAATTTATTGCATGAAGAAAAAAAGTGTGTAAAGATTTGAGGGGGAGGGGGGGGGGGTTACTTGTACAGTGCCCACCATTTGTATTATTATGATTATTATGATGATGATGAGGAGGATGAGGATTATTATTATTATGATTATTATTAATGTCATTCTTTAATTACTTCATTCATTTTGTTATTTGTTGTTGTTGTTTTTAGTATTAATGTATTTATTTATTATCACCTTGTCACTGTCACATGCAAGGCCACTGAATTAATGTGGAAATAGGATTTAACTATTCTCGGTATTGTTTTTGTTCTTGTTACTTTCCATATTATCATCATAATTAAATGTCACTATGCTCACATTATCATCACCGACACGTTCAAGGCCACAGCCCCTCCCCGGGGCTATGAGGAGCACCAGCCCAATGTGCAGAACGGCGCCTCGGCCGCTGCCCAGCACAAAGCTACCCCTCCTGCTTCTGCCGCGGCTGCTGCCTCCTCAGCCAATCAGAAAGAAGGACAGAGCATTCCGTCTCATCTGTGGTAGGGAGCTCTCAGATGATGCAAGCTCCCAATCTCCCCCCTCCCCTCCCCTCCCCCAATCTCCCTTGTTTTTAAGCCCAGCCCCCTTCGTGTCCCCCGCCCCCCCCCCCCCCCCCCCAAAATGTTTCTACTGCATTTTCAGTTACTTTTTGTTGTTGGGAATGCTTCTTTTGGTGTTGTTGCTGCTCAGACTCAAGGAATAGTTTATTTGTAGAGGGCAGCTAAATCTGAATTATTAATCTAAGCTAAAAGTACCTTTCTTGTAGATAGAAAACCAAAATTTTTCTTTTCCAGAAGTAAGTCTATTTAAATTATTGTTTTTTGAAGAACTGGAAAGAGCATGATATATGTGGAAATAAAAATTCCGCTGAAATAGAAACCTCCCTCAAAAACAAACACTTGCTGACTATGATGAAAATCAATCAGCTTAATTCCATTTCTTCTGTGGTATTTGTAATATCAGCAGGTAACAGTAGGCTCTATAATATGTTTTAAATTGTGAAGAAAGTTGGCGGTTTGGGGGGGGGGGGGGAGGGGTGTGTGTGAAGAATAATTAATTTTCCTTGAGCCTGTGCAGTTGAATGTTGTTCCATGGATGTTGTTTAATGGATGTCGGTTCCTCTCTTGTAGCGTGTGGGGCAAGATTGATTGTTGTGCCACAGTTAGCAGTGGTTGTCGTCACCTCAGACCAATTGTACCACAGGTTATTGGTTGGGGGAGATTTGGTGGGGGGGGGGTGTGATAGAGCAGTGTTTGCCAACTTGGGATGGTATTGCCCACCAGGGGGCAATTTACTAACTTTTGTAGGCAGTGGGGAGTCATCCGTGTTGTGACGGATGCTATGTTATTTAGTGTCCAGTTTGGATATACATGTAGTTCGGCGGTACGAGAAATGTGGCCTCTGAAAAGTGGCATAAGTGGGTGCTGGCTGTAAAGAAGTTGACAAGCAGTGGGGTAGAGTTGGCATCGTTTAAAAAATTTTTTAAAGCAAATTCTTTACTAAGGTTTGCTTATGAATTTTTTTTTTTATGGCCAGTTCTATTTTCTTGAGAAGACCACATTTGATTTAGGAAAATCTTATGCTTCCAGGATATGTTCTTTTGAACTTTTCCAAAGTACACAATTTTACACAAAAATGTTTTACCATCCGCACTTGGTTGCTGTGATTGTGCAAGTACATCTTTAAAAAAAAAATTAGAACACTTTAAGTGAAATATTAGTGTACCGTAATAAAATTCAGTAGTTTTTCATTTTATGAGGGAGAAAAAGATTTAGAATGTTTTACATGGGAAAGACATGTACATAAATTGTTTTCACGCCTGTGTGTTTAAATGAGTACCTATTGTGATGACTTGGAATTAGCATTGACAGAAAGCAGTAGGTTTAAAAAGCTTGAGGAATTGAAAGAATTGAACGTTTGTTTTTCACTCATTTTCTTATTGTTCTTTCAAGTTGGACAACATTTTCTGGCATTGCCAATACTTTTCCTTTGCTGAAGATTTATTCAGGTGATCAGATTCATTTTATCATGGCACTTTGAGCTGTTAGTCAATTGTGTGGGAAAATGGACAGAACGGCTATGTAGAAATGATCTGCTTAAGAAAGTATTGCAGTTTATTATGCTTGGTATTCCTATGCTTTTACAAGATCAAATGGAATCAAAAACATGGTTAGAAATGTTAAAAATGTATTAATCCTTCAGTAAGGTATGAGACAAAATTTTCATTTGTGAAATTATGAAGTTTAAGTTTGCACTGTAAATTTGAAGTTTTAGCTTCCTTCAGTAAAAGTTGGGATATCATTGCTCCAGTACATTCCTGCGATAGATTTCAAGATATGGGAAATATAGATTGAGGAGATGTGTACCAAAATGTTTTCCTGACTGTACTGTGGGGTGTTTGAACCAGTTGGTCTGAGGTGATGGCCTCTGCCTCCATGTATTTACCAGTTCTGGATCCAGCTTTTCTGTATACATGTGCTAATATATTCATGTCTATTTAATCTGCATGATTGTCACCTTTCAGCTCCACATAGTCTGACCTCAGCCGATTTTACTCTCTTTGTTTTGGTTTAACCAAAGATAGTACAAAACAAGATGGGCCACTTCTCTCTTTGAGCCAATTAAAAAAGTGTCCTCAAAATTTGGTGGCGCCCTCTTCACAAAAGCGCACTCTTTGCGAACAGAGTTACCCTACTTGAGTTTTTAAAAAATCAAAGTGAAACTAGCAAGTTTTGGGATAAATTTTGGAAGAACGCTTTTTTAAAATGGTTACGCTGACAAAAAACCTCTTTCGGAGGAAAGGGTGATGGTTTTCATCGTTTAATTTGACTTTAGAATGAAAGGCGAGAGGTCATTAAAATATAAAAAAAACTAAAACTCCGCACTGAACGTACCCGAACTGCTGATGAACAGCAGTCGATCTGCGCACGCAAGGAGGTGCTGTTCCTATTCTTCTTCTGGAAAAACGAAAGAGAGCTTCAAAACAGACTGCAGCGCCATCTGAAGCAAAGAGCATACTTCCTGCGGACACTTTTTTGGCTGAGTGGCCCATCTTGTTATTCACTATCTTTGGTTTAACACAAATGCGCACCATCACACACTCATTTGACTGCACTGTCGTACACAGCCATGGAAAAAGTTCTGCTCACTCTGTCACTCTTTCATCCATCTTTCACTTGGTTTTGTCTGTACCAGAAGTCACTGCATGTCATTCTGGACTGGTTGTGTGAAGTGGATGGTGCCATGCTGGATAAAAGTGCTAATGGTTTTAGTTCGAATTCCACTAGGGGGCATTCATTCGTTGACTTGTTTGTTTCAGTTTTCATGGTGCTGTTCACTCTCGGCTCAGTCTTGTCTTAGGTGGATGTTATATAGCAGGTTTAGCCTCTTGTGGAACTTTAATCTGTTCAAAAAAGCATTACTGATGTCTCTGGAGTAACGGTTAAGCGATCCTAGTCGGCCAGAAAAGATGAAAGAGCAAATGTAGTTTTTGGAGTGTCTTTGTCTTTCTGCTGGGATGCAATGCCCCAGCTAGCTCTGGAAGGCAGGGTCAAAACCTCCTGAGTGATTGAGATTGTCTTGATCAGCACGTAAGACATGAACAGTCCTAACTGAAGGGAAAGTAGCATAAAACCACACTTAAACTTTCTGATCTTACCTCACTACGTGTGTTGTCTTGTCATGCATCACAGTGTCACCGTCCATATCGTCACTCGTACCATTCCACTCACTGTATACATAACCTGCTGTGCCCACCTCTGAAATGACTCTTTGTGTCATGTTGGGAGATCACACGAAAACAAAACCTACAGTGAGTTATGCCACTCCTCCTCACACCTCACCTCCCCTGAACTCTTCAAATGTTCAGCCAAGAACTTTGCTTGGTGAAGAAAAAAATATTCTGTTATAGTCTTAGCCCTCTTTCAGCGAGAGGCCAGTGGGGATGGATTTTCCTGCCTCTGGCTTTTGAGAAGAAAGAAGTCAGTTGGGAGGAAAAGAATTGAACGTTTGTTTTTCACTCATTTTCTTATTGTTCTTTCAAGTTGGACAAAATTTTCTGGCATTGCCAATACTTTTCCTTTGCTGGAGCTTTATTCAGGTGATCAGATTCATTTTATCATGGCACTTTGAGCTGTTAGTCAACTGTGTGGGAAAATGGACAGAAGAAAAGAACCTGAAAGTAGCTTTGTGTTTAATACTCTGCTTTTGTTATTGCTTAAAATAATCCTTTTTTTTTTTTTTTACATCATCTGTTGTGTCTAAGAGTATTCTATCATTAATTTTTTTCTTTGCCGCTTGCTCTTTACAATTTTCAAAATTATTTTACGTTGTAAAGTATTTTGCAGTTGCATTGCTTTTGTTAGGGATTGGTATTCTCAAGCTTTGAAAAAATTAAGACTGCAGAATAAGTAACCTTCTTGCTTTTTACAAATGTGTTTGCTAGTTCAAGATTAAATGTCTTGTGTTCTGTTCAAGGTCAGGATTCTTGTTGTCCTATATCTGTTCCTGATCATGTGTTTGGGAGTTCTTCATGTTCACTCATCAATTCATGATGAAGACAAAGGTGCAGACATTTTTTCAGGAGCAAGCAGTCCAGAATGTCGAGGTCAAGACATTTTTGTGTTTTTTTTTTTTTCCCTTCCCTTCCCGACTGTCCTAATCTTCTGTGTTAGAAGAGAATGTTCTCCTTCTGATGCATGACAGTGTTTGTGTTGTTTGTGTATACTACCTAGAATCTGCAGCGCAAGGACAGCTATCTCCACACGGCTAACGGCGCGTTTGCCCCGCCGCAGTCTCCGGGGACTGGCCAGATGGAGTCCTCGCTGGGTCACCGTGGTAGCTTAGCCAATATAGCCAACCTAAACGCATTCCCGTGGTACGTACTGTAGCGGAAACCGTTAGTGTGCCAGGGTTTTCTTGTCACCGCTGCTCGTGTGTGTTGCGTGGCCTGATGGGAGAGGGGTGGTTATTTCCCTTCTGTCGTGGGACTCGTTTGGTCAATGTGTGTATCTCAGACGTACCAAAATTATTTTTTATTGTAAAATAGTGATGGAGTTTATTGATATGTAACGGACACTACCATTATGATATGATAAGATTTAAAAAACACTTTTTTTTTTGCAGTTTGAGGTGGATTCTATTACTGTCGCTTTTTGATCAAGGGAGTGGTGGGAAAGGTTTTAGAATTTATTACATGGACATTGAGGAAGGATTTTTAAGCTTACTGTGTAATGTGGCACTATATGTAGGTGGAAATTACTAAATAAATATTAAAAAGTATTTTATTGACAGCTGTTGTCAGTTTAATTAATGGATTAATCCAAGAGAACTTGATTCAGTGCATCAGAGAGGTGCACAGATGATGTAGATAGTGGATTGTTCCTTATGCTAGAACTGCCTGTCAGAGAATACTGGCAGGTGGGTCATGGTCGTGAATGTAATTGCCGTGGACTTTTTGATAAGGAAACAATGCATCTGTATGAAAATGTCTAATTTTTGGCATTTGTTGCTGAGTGATGGCAAGGTTCCTCTCCTTTGAGTGCAGAAGAGGTGGGTTTGATGGCCCTGGGAGGAAGTTTATTTTATCAAGAATTTCCGTTTTTCTGATGGAATGTCATATTCCGCTTTGCCCTCTTATTGAATAAGAAAGTGATATAAAATTGTATCTTTATAAGACTTTAGAATGAAATAAGCTTGGAGATATCTGCTGTATATTTTTCATCAAGAGAGCTTAAGTTTTCTATTACGGTAGAGTGTTCTAGACTTTAAAATGTTAACAACAGGGGAAAGATGGAGAAGGGAGTCTGTATGGTGGGAGTGAATAAGGTCATAAGTTGGAAGAAACTCCTTTTGGTAAAGGGCAAAACAGGAATTGTGAAAAGACAGTCAGCATGTGTTTGAAAAGGAAGAACGGTTTACTGTTGGCAGAGATTTCCGTGTTAAGTCTGTTGACAAGGTCCAAAAAGCATGAAGCTTGTGAAATGATTGAATGAAGTAATGTGCGAAGATGGAAATACAGTTTTAATTTTGAAAAATAAGTTTTGTAAGAAAGAAAATAAGATTTGGTGGTGGTGGTGGTGGTGGTTGGGGGGGGGGGGGGAGGAGAAAGGGAAAGTATTCTAGGCTTGTACAGTTTTACAGATCAAATTAAAAACTACTTGTGCTGTGTTTTTGTAATGTTGGCCCGACGACAGAGGGGAAATCCATTCTCTCCCACCTCACTTAGTCATAACAGCATCTTGACACAGTTGCGAAGACTAGAGCGGTGTCATGCTGTTGTGAGATTTGGTAGATCAGGAATGTTGGATGTTGTGACTAATACTGACTGCCTGTGGCCTGAGAATAATCGAGTTCTATTTAAAAAATTTTTTGGGGGTAAGTGTTTTACGGTGCTCACAACTGCATAAGGTCATGAGCGCGCAGGACACATTAAACATTTGTTTGTTGGTACAGGGGTTAGTGGTTGGCGGGTGTTTTATTCAGTGTTAAATGCCGTTATGCTCACAGTCACATCACATAAAGCGTGTCAATTTTATGATAATGAGAGGCTCCTGTGACAATAGCATAAATAGCATAAATTATAATGGACACATAATATGTTAATAACATATTTAGAAACGTTAAGGGGGTTAGAGGATGTTTTAATGTGGCCTGCCCCTTCTACTTCTTGGCAGTGTTGGTATTTTCCCTTGTTTGTTTCTGTTGGGAAATAGTCTTCTTTATCATAGGTGCTGATGTAACAGCTTCATCAGTTGAGGGGGGGGGAGGTAGGGGCATTTTTTAATGTTAATTTTTTGTCCTTTTAACGTTACCTAGGTTTAAATTACCATATCATAGAGTGAATTTGCCTTTCCTTACATAATCTTAAGTTGAGTATTGAAACTAACTTTGTTATTCTCAGGTCCCTTGTGGTATTAGTGTGAATTTCTTTCTTGATGTTGTGAGAATCCATGTTGGTAGATCATAGATGGCTAACAGCATTGTGGTTGATTGATACTTGATTGTAGTATCCTTTATGCATTTTTTGCTGCCATTGTTATTGTTACTGTTGTTGCTGCTGCAGCCAAGGTGGTGCTTGGAGAAGACAGGTCATGATCACAGCAGTGAGAAAGTTTTCTTTTTTTGCCATTTTAAAATGTGTGTCCGCAACTTTCATATAAAACTTTCTCAGTTGTTGAGATTTCAACAGGATTTAAAGGTCACAGCTCGTGAAATCACAAGTATAGCCATGATGTTTCTTTTGAGAGCAATTATAATGTTTATGACTGTGACGTGTCATTTTCGCCACACTTTTCTGAGCTACTAAGAGTTGTGTAGCTAAAGCAGTCTGTTTGTAGATCTTGTATTTTAACATCAAGTGTGAGTGAATGTCATATTGCTGGTAGGCACTTTGCCACTACACGCTGAAGGCGTGAGTATGATTCCTGAGTTGGGAATTAAAAAATGAAAGAAAAAAATAAATTGAATAGCTCTGTCTGCTGGAATGTTTTTGTATACGGCTCAGCACTGGTTGACCCTGACTGGCTGAATTGAAGAAGTCCCCCCCCGTCTGAAATAATAGAAATTGTATCGATGGAGGAGTAAGACACTGGCTAACGATGACCTGTCAGCGGCATAGTGTTGTGACCCGCATTCATCTCATAAAAATTGCAGCAGGAGGATGTACTTTTTCATCCACCGGGCTACTGGTGTGCTTTGTGTTCACCATATGTTCTAGCCTGTAGCACAACCTCACATGAATACAAGGGGTATACTTTGACTCTAACATCTGTCCAATTTTGTAGGTTGGGCATATAATAGGGAGTGAATTTTTGATTTGATGGAGGGGGGCTCAACACGATTGAATTCAAGTAGTAATTGGGCAAATGTTCTTGCTATTTGGTGTAAAATTCAAGAGTACAACCCAGGAAAGTGGCTCTGTTCATGATATTTCAGTCCAATGTTTTCTTTCATGTCACCGAACGGTCAAAAAGGAATGTGATTTACAAGAAAGGCTTATATTGTTACTTTTGGATTTTACCTTTTGGAAAAATTGCTTTTTTTTATAGATGAATATGGTTCATGTGAACATCTGCTGAGAAGCAGTTGATGCTAGTTTTAGGTCTACCTCTGGCTGAATGTCGTATAATATAGGTAGGTTGCATATTGGTAAGATGTTCAGGCTTTGTTGAAATTTTCATTTTTTGTTCTCATGATTTAATGAAACAAAGCTGTAAAGTTTTATTTGCCTAGTAATCCTCAAATATTTTTGCACTTTTTAAAGGTTTTGTTTCTGTTAAGAATGTTTTTTTTATCACCTCGTTATCTTAATTAAATCACTTCATACACGATGAATGGACATTTATTCGCACTGGCTGGCATCTCCTAGCGACACCTTGGATGTATATGTTTTGTAAACATTTTTCATGAACTCAGCATGTAACTGTTTTTAATTTTCACCCTTGTTCTAATCTTTCATTCAGCAACACTTGTCTTGGCCATCTATTTATCACAATTCATTACCGACCGTACTTGTTTAATGCTATTAAACATTTTCTCCTTTTGTTACCGAGGACAGTATTTTTAGAAGAGAAGAACTCAACTTCCACTTTATATTCATTTGTAAGTTAGGTTACATTTTTGTTCCTATAAACAAAGTTCTATATTCCATTTAAAGTCTTCAATGTTTTGATTACTTTCATTCCTTTACTCCTGCAAAATTTTGAAGTCTTGAGTAATTTAGAAAGGAAATTGCTGTCTGAAAGGTTTTTAAAAAAATTTTCTCCATCTTAGACATTGCAGTGTAACTCCTTTAAGAGCATTCTGTGAAAATTGTCTGCTGATATCGCAAACTTATGGCTTGTCTGTCAGGTACTCTGGAGAGATGGAGCGGGCCACAGCACAGAAGGTGCTGGACCCTTTGCCAGACGGCACGTTTCTCATTCGAGTGACGAAGAACCCGACACGGCAAGGAGAACTGAGTCTTAGTATTAAGTAAGTCAGAGCTTGAGTGAACATCTCACTACTCCTCTGTGTGTCACTATTTTGTGTGTGTGCCTGGAGAAAGATTCCAGTTGTCGGCAAAGATGTCTTGAGCAACAGGGGGGAAAGGCCAGAAAAAGTCGTACCTTGTCAAAAACTTAGTTCCATCTGAAAACGTACGTTTAACCATTTTTTAATAACAAATGGAAAGGATTTTATATTTTATGCTAGGTATTGAAAAAAATTATTTTTGCAACATTTTCTTCACAGAGGGTTAAAAATGTATTAGAAGTTTTTTTTCTCTCCAAACTTTGATTTTACTCCCTGTGTTACAAAATGTGGCATTTCTTTGAAATACTCAAAATATTTAAGAAATTTAAAAAATCAGCGTGTTCAGCATTGAATTAGCTACAAGAATATGCCCTTATTTCAATATCCAAAATTTACGACAACTGGGACCTTTCTCCAAGCACGTACACATTTGGCCGAAAGGAAAACATTATGTATCGGGGGTAGGTCTCTGTGAAAAGAGTGGTTGTGGTTTGATGGGGCCTAGTGGTAGGTCTTGTTTTTTTCCCCCTCTGTTGTTTCTTGACTGTGGCTTTTTTCTGTGCTCTAATTTGTCTGGTTTGTTGGCGGGTGCTCTGTTGTGGTCTGCTTTTTCTTTCCTATCAAGCACGTATTGTTCTTTTTGCTCCTCCTTCGATTTTTGTGTTTGTTTCTTGTAACAGTGCTGTAAAACTTTTACTGAAAAAAAAAATTCCCTCCGTTATTTCTTGTCTTGTCTTGTTATTTTCTGTGCTCTAAATTGTCCTCATTGAGTTGATATTTATCTTCATATTTAGATTAAGTTGGCCTTCGAGAGTGCCTTCTTAATCTGATAAACTTCTTACTTATTCTCACCCACCCCAAAAAATATTGGGGTTGATCAGAAGACACCTCTGGTTAGTCGTTCCATTTCACTCTCTCTGTGTTGTTTCTGGTCATCAGTCTTGCTGTTCATAGCAGTCTCTCTCTCTCTTGCCCTTTTTAACTCCCAGTGGAGCACAGGCCATCAACAACATTACTCCAGCGAAGCCTGTCCTGAACATCCTTTTCTATCTGTTTCCATGATGTCCCCGCTTTTTCAATTTCCGCTGATACCGCTCGCCTCCATGTCATCTTAGGTCTTCCCTTCTTACGCTTTCCTTGTGGGTTCCATGTTAAGGCCTGCCTGATGATGCTTGTCCGGGGTATCCTCAGGGTGTGTCCAATCCATTTCCATTTCTTCACCTGAATATCTTCTTGTACTGGCCTTTGGCTTGTTCTCTCCCACAGTTGAGCATTCGTGACTCGATCGTACCACTTGATCCCCACTATCCTTCGTAGGCATCCATTTACGAAGCTCTGCAGTTTCCTTGCTGCTGATGCTGTGAGCCTCCATGTCTCTGAACCATACAGTAGAACAGTCTTCACGTTTGTTTTGAAGATCCTCAGTTTGGTGTTCAATCCCAGTTCCTTAGACATCCATATATTCCTGAGAATGATGAATGCTGCTCTTGCCTTTTGGATTCTGACCTTGATGTCTTCATCTGTTCCCCCTGCCTTGTGTTCATAGCAATAAATGACCCTTACTGTGTAGATATGTTTCTCTTTTCTGAGGGAGCCCATGTTTCTGTACATTTTTTAAAATCTGTGGTTGGCCGGTGCTCTACTGTGGTTTACTCCTTTTTTTGTATCAAATGTCTATCATCCTTTTCTCGCCTCTTTCTTTTTTGAGTTTGTTACTCCTCTCTTGTAACACCTTTAATTTTGGGCGCTTTTATGACCTATTTATTTTGCAACTGCTGTAAAAGATACGAAAAGTAAAATGAAATCTAACTGTCAAATTGTTTATCTCCAGATACGCCAATGCTGTGAGACACATTAAGGTGAACCGTGGGGAGGGTGGCTTTTATCTGGCAGCTCACAGGTTCTTCACCACAGTGCAGGTAATGTGCAGGGGTGATGCTTTTCCTCTTTTCTTTTTTCTTCTTGTTACTTCTGTTATGTGGGTGGTTGGCGGGTGCTCTGGTGTGATTTGCTTCTTGTTTCCTATCAAACATCTATCATATTTATCTCCCCTTCTTCTTTTTTATGTTGGTTACTCTCTTGTAACACCTCTAATCTTCTGGCGCTCATATGACATTATGCAGTTGCGAGCACCTTAAAACGTCTACTAAAACGAAAACTAAACTTCTGTTATTTTTACTGAAAGAAGGTAAGAACAGCAGTTATGATTCTGTGTATTTGTTTCCTGTGTATCCCCACCTAAGTTGTGGGTTGTAAGTGTCCTTTTGTTTGTAAATGAAACTGTAAATTTTCATGTATTTTCACAAAACCTCGGAGGCATTCTTGGCAATGACCTCTCCTTTTGTCTTGGTAGTTTGTGGATTCTTTTTGTTGCATGTAGCCTCTTTATGCCAGTTAGTCGGTGAGTGATGGGTGGATGAGGTGGGTACTGGCGAACTCTCTTCTGTGGCCCTCACTTTTGATTGTAGACGTAAAGCATTGGACGGCTGTACAGTACATACTGTGTTGTCACTTTGTTGTCCTCCCGTGATAGTTTATAAAAGTCAGTGAGGGAACCGCCAACACTCCTCGAGAATGTAATCAAGCTGCGACTGAACTACTCTAGGCATATCAAATGTTGTAATTCTTTTGAAAAACATGTTCAGTAAAAAGTTGTAGACGGAAAGAGCAGAAGAGGAATACCCAACAGAAGATAGGAATCAGTCTTATAAATCTGGCTTGGAACCAAAACAACTTAGGCAGACAGAATAGCAAGGGACAGATTAGTTTTATTTCCAAAAGGTCCAACTACAGAAAAAGCTAAGATGAAGATCTTGGCCTTTCTGCTCGGATGTTGTTAGTCTCTGCGCCCAGGCTGGCCCTGATGATAGGCCTGTTTGAGCCAGCCTGCTTCATTTGTTATCAAAATAGCATCAATGAAGGCTTAAAACATTTTTTAATTTACAAGTTTACAAGCATTATGAAATTGTGAAATGTAGCTCTTGTTTGTGTGCTGACTTGCCCAGTGGGTGGTTGGTGGGCGCTGTGGTGTGGTTTATCTTACTTAACTCTCCTTCTTTTCTTTGTACCTTACTCTCTTATTACACCTCAAATCTTCGGCATTTTTATGACTTTATTATTTTGCAAATGCTGTAAAACTCATTCTTAGACTGAACTGATTTACTGAAACCACAGTTTTAAGTCTTCACTGTACATTTTCTTTCATGAATAAGTGGGTCTGATTTTTTTTTCAACCACTGTGCACTTGGTTTTCAGGAGCTGGTTGACTTTTACCAGGCGAATGAACTCGCTGACAGTTTCCCTGAGGTGTGCACAACGCTGAAGTATCCCTACAAGAAAGTAGCGAGTAAGTAAAAGGGTTGTTGTTGTTGTGGAGTCAGAGTGGCCTTTGAGCGTGTGCCTATCAGGACAATGACATGCTGAAAAAGGTGGTCTTCGAAAGTTATTTGCACGCTCATATGACCGTATACAGTTGTGAGCGCCGTAAACTCTTACTAAACCAAAACGAAAGTTGTTTTTTTTTTCTGCAGTATTGGGTATTGTCTGTGGTTAGGGCGGGAGGGGGACGTTGCTTTTAGAGATAATGTACGTCGTATTGGAACATTTATAAGTAACGGGTAGATATGTGTTTTGGTCTTTTAAATTAAAATTGACATTGCACCAGATATTAGTGATTTGCAAAATATTGTGCCAACATGGTGGTAATTATTATTTTCTTTGAGAAAAAAAAAAATGGGTGAAAGGGAAAATTGTTTAAAATTTGATGATGAGCGATGATGATGAAATGTTTAGAATGGCATGCAGGATTAATCATGATGTTGATTTATTTTTCTGTTTGATGTCTATGCTTGATCCCATCTGGCTGTCCCTAGGTAGGAGCAGGACACAACCCTCACTCCCAACTCTTGGGTAGAGCGATATAAATGTAGAAGATTGTTCTTCTCTCAGATTTTCTGTCATGATATAATGTGAGGCATCAGGGTGAAATCAGGCGCTCGTTAAAATAATGAAATTAAAGAAATCTGCATTTTTCAGCCAGTTTGGAATTTTTAAAAATAATTTTTTTTGTTTTTTAGCTCAACACCTTGTCGTATGTTCATTCAGAAACATGTGTGGATTTTATTGAAAAATGTTGATTAAAAGCACGGAAAATGTAAATTTGCAGTTTCCAAGGACTCTTGAGCTATAGAAGTCACCAAACTTTGGCAGCCATTTTCTTGCACATTTTACTTCTGAAACCAGGCGAGCCCACCTTCTTCAGTTGCAAATATCTTCACTTCTATTCAAGATAAATGGATAATTTTTTCATCGAAAGCAAGACAAATGAACAACCTTTAAGATGATACAAATAACTCCATATGCCCCAAAATTGACAAGTGCCTGATTCCGCCACGTCGTGACACGTATTGTTTTCACCTTCTTTTTCCCCTTTTTTTGCTCCCTTTAACCTTTCTCCTCTTAGAATATTCTTTGTTCTATACCCCAGTATGGTATTACATTACACAGAAACAAAAACAAAAGGCTTTTCCAACGGTTGGGTGACCTTAAGTCTACGTTCCGTTTCTTTCACTCATTCGAAACTTGTTCTTTCCTCTCAGCCAACGCGCGTGTGCACTGCTTTGCTGTGGCCATCTACGACTACGCAGCAACCTCCACCTCCCAGGTGACGCTCCAGGTGGGCGACAGGGTCAAGGTGCTGAGTAAAACGGGAGAGGACAAGGGCTGGTGGAAGGGAGAGAACCTGAGGACGAATAGAGTGAGTAGTCTCCCATGGTGTTTGGTGATGACTGATCGACTATGTGAAATAACTCGTCATCACTCATCGTTCTCATTTTACTTCTTTGGTAATGTTCGTTGCTCTATCTTCACCTACACTCTCTGTCGCTCTCTTTCTCTGTCTCTGTCCCCCCCCCCCCCCCCATATACCTGTACATATTAACTTTTGTCCACCTTTTTCCCCTCTTCAAAGGCAGAATACTTCTGTGCAGTTTTCCCCTTTGAACTTTTTCCCCCCAGTTTTTGTCTTGTCCAAACCTGTTATTTATGCCATGTTGCTGAAAGGTGTGCTGACTCTGTGTAGGCTGTCCTCACCTCATGTGGTCCAACTGTTCCATGTTTGGGTGGACAATTTTGTGTCGAACAGGGCGTTCAAAAGTACAAAACGACTGCTTAGATTCCGCCGTACGCCTTTTTGAAAAGTGACATGGTGGAGTCTTACACTGAGCTTTCGAAAATATAATTAAAAGTTGAATATAACCCCCCCCTCCCACCCCCTTACGTACATGCCATCTATTTTTATTATTTTAATGATTATTGCCTAAAAATGAACAAGCGCAGGTTTTTATGACTCTCTCCTGACTTTGCAGATTGGTTACTTTCCACTGGCCTATGTGGAAGAGGAAGATGAGCCGTGCTGAGCCCACGCTTGGAGCTGATACTCTCGCAACTTTCCAATCCACAACACATCCGGGGGGTGTGGAGACAATAGGACAAGGGAGACATGGAGGAAAATTCCGACCACAGCTGCTGGTAGTGGTGTCCTGTTGCCACAAGCTGCCAACGATGGACATAGACTGATCACGGATGACATCACTGCGGCCGTTTCTGTAGTGTTTTTGCAAGGGATGCTTACTGTTATGTGTCTTGAGCAGGGATAGTAGACTGTTACAGCAGGAAGTTTGTGAGTTGAAATGTTGGTCTGTTTTATGAAAGACTCAGCCATACACCATTTTGACACATAACAGAGCAGTCAATATGTTTTGGGCTGGAAGTAATGCAAGGATTGAGGGAGAAAGATATTGAGAGGGCATATAGGCAGCTGTCACTAATCTCTTGCTGGCTTGAGATTAGTTGCGAGTGTTTAAGATCCGCTATGTAAATGAGGTGTTATTTCCATCGTACTGAAATGCTGCATGTCTGGTTTGTTAGGTTGTAGGATTGAATGTTAAGGGTTTTCAGCCCCGGCTGCTACAGTGCAGTGGATCACAAATGTTTCTTGTGCCTCAAGGAGGATCACAGTTTGAGTCTGATTGGGGTCTGGACTCTTGGTTTTCTTTTCCCTTTGGGTTTTTACTTGCATCTCAAGTGTCCTGATGAAGGAACCTTTAAATGTCCTGCATCATGAACTGTGAAACGTTAAGCATCAGCACCAACGACTACAACATAACAATTGCTTTGCAAGCCTTTAATCTGTAGCGGTTAATTGAACCCAGCATCCCAGCTGAAGGATGGAGATATTGGATTAATCCTTACAACTCAGGGCTATTTTTAGCTCTCACTTCCCCTCTGGCTGTGGTAATACTGGAGTCTTTGTCTTCACAGACCTAGCCAATACTGGTTATGTCTGAAATGTTTTGCCTGCTTTAAAATTTCTATACTTCTTTTGTCTGAAGTTTTAGAAGTTATTTTGAAGAATATTTTAAAGATGCAATTGGATACATTACGGTAAAAATACTTGACTGGGCCTGTGAGGAAAATATACACAAATTGGCCTGGGGGTGATGAGAACTCGTGAGGGAAACATAAGGGTTAAAGAAAACTTCCCAAAGTGGCAATCAGATCTCACATCTTCTGTATGCTGTATCAAAAAGCTTTGCTTTTTTCTCAGTGATGCAGATGCATTGCATGAGAATTTGGGCTCAGTGGTAAATTCAATTGTGTCTTCATGTCTTGCTCTGAATGCACATTGCCCGTTGGTACTTAGTCATATTACAGTCACAGGAGGGCATGATGGGACAAGTGTTTTATGCCGAACTGCAAAGAGGTGATTTTCCCTTTGTTGATGTTAGACTTTCTTTCAAATTGTTTTTCTGCTCCGCACAAGAAAACGCGCCATATTTAAGAGACAGGACGGCTACGTTCTGATTCCCATCTCCCCTGACACAGGTGGTAGGACCTCACCTATCTTTGCAGACAATCTGTTTTGGAAATGTCAAGAGTTGGTGCTGAACTTATGAAGAAGTATTACTTCTCCTGCTGGGCCTTGTCCTTTCTTTCATTCTCTCATTCAGAGGAGTGAGAACTATTAACATTTTCAGTGGTACAGTTTGATCCAGTGCTAAAATTGTAATCAGTATTAACCAGGATTCTTTTGAAGTTAAAAAATAATTAATCTCAAGAGTGGCGAAGCAAACCAACTCCACGGCAAGAGGCTAAGGATAAAATTGGCCTGTACTTAATGTGAAAAGTTAAGTTCTTAAATGGTGGGAATACCTCGTTCCTGAATCGTGTCCACCCTGATTGTATAGTTTTTGCACCTGGTCTTCGTTCATTCTATGTTGCTTATATTTATAGTTTGATTGGTCATCGGGGACTTGTGACCGATTTTGTTTGCTGTCTGAGTACTGAAACGTGCACCATTTGAAATAAGTATGTAGGAGGTACTGATGATATTTAATGATATATGCAAAGGTTTGTAAATTTTTTTTTTTTCCCTTTTTTTACAGTTGGTTAATAAAAATTATTTGCATTTTCCATGTTTTGTTGTTGAGAAAAAGGAGAGTGAGAGTGCATGATGAAACTGTTGCTTACAATGGGAAAATTTATATAAATTTGAAACCATAGTAGAATCCCCTTCACCATGGAAGCTGAGCAAATGGCAGGAAGTCTGTGGAGATGCAAACTGCATTTTTTTCTGGTTTTGATGTAAAGCTTGAAAGCACTGAATTTCTCATGTGAAAACAGGAGTTAATTCAAAATGAAACTGAAATTCTGCGGAACATGCACATTTACGATAATAAATTTTGAGCTGAAAGGAAAGATATTCCCGCAACCTTGGAAGCTGTGACAAATACTCTCAAAAGTGGGAAACTGGAGTAAGTACAAGATGGGAGGTAGGCAGCTTGAGAGATTTGTACTTGTTCATGCTTTGCCGAGTTGCATACACACAACCAGTGTGCCTATCCTTCAAGTAAGCAAAAGTTTTGACACCCTTATATTCTGCATGGCTCGGGTTCACACCAGACTTCTTATTTGTTGTTTTTGTTTTATTTCCTATGTACAATGTATCTTATAATTTCTTTAGAAATGCAATGGGTCCATGCATGAGTTGTAAATGGGTATATAAATATTATGATAAAAGTTGGCAGATTAATAAATGTATATTTCTTGAAGCAGGATTTCTGACCAATGAACATACTTTTTTTGTAATTGTAAATAAAACTATAGTTGCTCTGAAAAGTTATAGTTTGAATATTAGGATGTGAATCTAAAATTCTCAAGAAAATACACATTACTTTTCTTGATTGTATTGTTGCCTGTTATTTTTCAGCTGTACTGTTTCAATAGCCGTCATATTACGCCACACACTCGCACATTGCTAGCTGTTCTTTGGTGACTTGTGCAGCTTCTTTGTCTGTCCTTGATGTGACCCAGAGACTGTCTTGTGATTCCATCTGTGATGTTAGCTTGGCACTACTCTTGTTGTTGTTGTTACCATCTTTGTATTTTTTTTTTTTCATTAAACCTACTGTAAAGCTAATTTGACTTATCTTATTTATGATATGCTAAACTTCAGTATTGTTCTTCCATTTTGCAACGTTGCTTGTTGTAACGAGAGTTGTTTTGGTGAAGTATGTATGGAACTGCAGTAAAACAGGTGGTTTTTTCCTAATGCATCTGATTTTTGCAAGTTACTTTAAGAGTTGGGAGGCAGTTGAGAAAAGTATATTATTTTGTGAGAGGTTCATTTCATGAACAGGTCTATGTGCCTACATGAGGTGCTATTAGCAGAAAAATGTGTTATAGTACTTTGTCTTGTCTTTGGTATTACAGCTGAAGAAGGCATAGTAAGCTACATTTTTGTGTTACTAGTAAAGGGGACTTCATATGTATCATGTTGTCACCTTTTTTTTTTTTTTTGACTCCTGTGTTGCATACTTACGAACATTGGTTTGGGTGGTCACTTAAAGCGAAGAACCCATTCTTACACTAGTGCTTGCACGTACTTCTATTAAGCCCATATTTTTTTTACATGTCATCTGGTGTGCCTCATGATTGTTTAGGCTGTTGGTGAAGGGATTTTTATTTGGACCCACCCTAGACCACCTGATTTTCCAAATGTCTTATGTTTCCCCATTTTGGTTTTGGAGTAAGAAAGGAAAACACTTGCATCTAACTTGTGAACCGATGGCCAGGGACATGAACGTTGTGGTAGACCGGGGTAGGTGGGTAGTATGTGGGTGCTCTGGTGTGGTTTTTTCTTTCTTTCCATTCAAACATCTATCGTTCTTATCTCTCCACCTCCTTTTTCTTTGTATGCTTCTCTGCTCTATTTACATCTCTAATCTTCAGCACTTATATGACCTAATTGCGTTACAAATGCAGTAAAACTCCTACTAATCTAAAGAAGAGGTAGAGGATCCAAGAAGTGGCACACTGATGAGTTTTGTTTGTTGTTTTTTGTTTTTTTCAAACTTGCCCTTACAGCGTGGGTTTGTGGCCTATTATACAACTCTATGACATAGGGATATGTAAGTAAGCCGCTGCTACTGCTGCTGCATAAATAACCTTGCCCCCTCCCTGTTTCCTGGGCAAATTCCTGCCAAATGTTTACCAATGGATGTGTGTGAAAACCATGATGTATCAAAATCTATCTATCTACCTATGTGTAAATATATATTTTTATTGCACAATACATTTTTCCCCCTGTTTCTGAGAGCTCTGTCTGTTAGCACAAAACCGTTGATGTGACTACATTGTGGCTCTGTTGCCCTGACCTATGGTTCCTGAGGCACCCCCATTATGTTCCTTGCCCATACCTCTGAATTTTTGCCAATGCCGTTCAACCCTGAGTTTCCATCATAAAATTTCCTTTTCCCTCCGAGTAAGTTTTCTTATGTTTGCTATAATCTTCCCATTGTTTTGTTCACTCAAAGATAATTTTTAATGCCCGAGGTTTCACATTAATTTTGTTTGGTTATTGACTACCTTGCTCTGTTCTTCTGGAAAATGTTATTTTTTTTGGTTTTCTTTCTGTTTTTATTTTTGATTGTTTTTTCCATTGTCATTTATTTTTCCAGTATAATCAATGTTAGATAGTTGGTTTGGAAACTGCTCGCGCCTTGTGCGGCTTTATTGTGTATACACTTGCTCAAATACTGGTTGTTCTCTTGTCTTTTCACTGTATAAGGAAGATGGTGATTTTCCCCCCCCTCATAAATGTGACAGTTTGCTGTCACTTCCATAAATCAAAATTTTGGTTTTTACATATATGCTGGGGGGGGTTTTTCCATTTTTTTTTTCGTGATATTGTTTATGCAGTTTATAAATGCTCTCCTTTAGATCCTTGTGGGATGTCAGACTTGAGGTGGCTGTATAGATATAAGCTGTGAAATGTATGTTTGCTATCAGTCAAATTTTTCCTGGTGTAAATTTATTATCAATTTTTGTTTTTAATGGACTGGATGAAGTGTTTTGAGAGAGTGGCAAATATGATTGCCCATGGAATTCAAAACATGAGTTCATCAACACTCA